TTGTAATTGTATCTACACCACAAGACATAGCACTTGTAGATGCAAGAAAAGGTGCCAATATGTTTATGAAGGTTAATGTTCCAGTAATACTTATGTTTCAAAATTTTTGATTAAATATCAATATATAAATACTTCTTGGTATTGTTCAAAATATGTCAATATTTGTATGTCCAAATTGTCAACATAAAGTTCATATATTTGGACAAAATGGAGTATTAAAAACTTCTAAAGAAATGAAGTTAGATTATTTAGGAGATATACTATTAGATGCTAATATTTGTGAACTATCAGATTTAGGTACGCCTGTAGTTGTAACTAAACCTAATAGTTTTAATTCTGAATGTTAAAAGAAATTGCAAAAAAAATAATGAATAAAATAAATTTAAATTATTAGCTTTATATTTTATAATTAAATAGTATTATAAAATTTTATTTTTTTTTATTGTATATAATTTTGTTATAGTAAAAGCTTTATTAGTTTAAAAAAAAAATTAAATAAACTTTGTACAAGATATAGTTATTGTTTTTTATAATTACAAGTAACTTTTTGTAATAAGTCTTTGAATTAGAAAAAAAATAAAATAAAATAGATACAAATTGTTCTAGTAAGTTTACTTTAAGATTAACAAGTACTTTATATTACCACAATATAATAGGAAAACTCTGAACATCTTAAATAAAAGTTATATTATAATTACTATTAAACATAGTAATTTTGACTGAGAATAATTTAATTTACTAAAAACTCTAAATTTCTTTTTCTTAAATATCTCAGGATCTAGTGATTAGAATTGAATAAACTTTTTTTGTTAAATATGCATTGATGAGAGCTTTTAAACAAAAAAATCATTCAATTTGAATCAAAAATACCTAAAATATTTGTAAAAAACTGCTTTTTTGAATTTTAAATTTTGAAGATTTTTTGCTAAAACATAAAATATGATCTCTGTATTAGATATCCGAGATCCTTTCTATACCAAGAAAAGAAAAATTCTTTTAATTTAAGTCATCTCTTAATTCAATAAATGGATAATACAACTCAGTAGAAATATCAAAATTTGAAGCTTTAATCGTCCAAGCTAAAGTTTTATACTATCCTCTGAAAAATAACAATCTTTTCATGAATAAAAGATTTCAATCGTCTTAACTTTTCTCTAAATTCGAAATGTTTTGAACAATCCACTTGGTATAATTTCATTCAAGAATATGAAGGTAAATGAAAA